GTGTGTGAGGCGGGGTTAGGGCTCAGGGCAGAGCAGGGCCACCGAGAGCGGGTTTGGGCCGCAGTGAAAAAAAAATTTCGGGTCCCCCAGCAAGGGTGGACCGGCTAAACAGGGCAGACGAGGGGGCGGGGGGAAAAGCCGGGGAAACCGGGCCCCCTTCCGGACTGCAGGGGAGATTGAGAACCGTATTAATTTTCCCTTTCAATCTTGAGATTGAGAACCGTATTAATTTTCAGGGAGAAGTTCTCCTTCCAACTGTCTCATAAATACTCTGAAAATCTCTGTTCTCCCTGACAAGGAGTGTCACTGGGAATCAGATTAGAGAGATTGTTCACTTGTTATAGGCATAAATGCCAGTGCTTTGCCATGTGATGGATGGAATTCCAGTCAGGGCCCTCAGCAATCACAATGAGGAGATTTATGCAACACAACTATCTCCACCAGAATCAAAGGATTATAAACAACACATCTAAAAATCCACAAGCTCTGCTTAGTGTCCTGACGACAAACTGTTGTCAGGTCTTCACAGTCATCCCAGCGATCAGACACTGGCTAATGCTTGGGGTAAGTGTTAATGACAGAACCACAGGGAGAGGAAGTTGTGTCAGATGTGGTCCACACCCAAGTTGTGTAGATGAAAACCTCCTGTTGTCAATGGAATGCATCTGGGACACTTCCATGCCTTCTGGCTTCCTTCACACAGTCTAGGTCTCTCTCAGATAAAGCCCTGCACTGGGATCTGCACAGCTACTGTAAAACTAAGTGGCCTGGAGAACCCTCCCAAAAAGAGGAGAGTTCTGAAAGCTTTAGCCATCTAGTATCTGACTCGGCATCCTCCCATTGCATGAGTGCATAGTGGGCTGAAGGTTTCACACACATTAAGGGCAGAAATAGCTAGAGGTTAGGGGAAAGTATAGAGCACAATCTTTTCTCTACTAAACCAACTACAAGGGAGTCTGCATTTAATGTATTTCCTGTTATAAACTGCCAGAGAATTCAGCACCTTTTCCAGTCTGATTCTGTGCTAATGGAAACTGGTGCCCTTAGTGGCAGGGTGAGAGCTTGGAAAATGACTGACAATAGCTTCCTATACCAAGAGAGTAGCCATGCTGGGCAGATCCCAAGTAGCAGAGCTCTGGGCTGGCCCCAGTACTAAGCAGAAGAGCCCAAGCTGAGGCAAAGAACAATCCTAACAAAACAGCTGCTTTCATCAGTTTGTGTTGTCTTGGATGAAGAACACTGGAAATAGGCCCTAACCCCTAACGTCCCCACTTCTGCTGTACAGTTGTTATCCTGGGGGTGTGCACTGTCACCATTTGAACCACAGCAGAAGATCAGGCTAGAAGAGAAGCTGACACCACAGCTCATGTCACACAAGGGAAGGCCCTCCAACCTGCCCATTCTCCCCCAACTGGGTTGGAACCACCAAAATGAGGGCCCCGCATCTGCCCAAGACCAAATGGCAAATAAATTGGACACCTGAAGCTCCGTTTAGTCTAAACAACAAAAATCCTGTTTAGAGACAGGAGTATGAGGGGCAGACAGCAAATCCCAAAAACTCACAGCATGGAGCACAACTGACTGCAGATCTCTTAGCAGGATTTGCTCTAGCAAGGTTAGGGAGATGACTAGGGAGACTAGAATTGCTTCTCCAGAAAAGAGATGACAGTTGCTTAAGGGACAGCAGAAGCAGAACCAGATTCTCTTACTTCCACTCATGTCAATTAACTGTCTGAGACTTCGGGTTTGTTCTTATTAATAAAACCAGAGAAGGAAGTTATACATCCTCCCAGGTGAGTCAGAAGATGCCCATGGCTCTCAAGTCCCTTTTCTGGTAGCACAGGAACCCCCCATATTCCTCGAAGCTTCTTACCTGTGGCTGTTAGGAATTTATGACAAAGCAGTGAGGGACTGCACACGTAACAATTCACCCATATCTACCTCCATGCCCAGAAAGATGCTTAGAGCAATCCCAGCATTTTTATGCTGTTTATAGTGCCTCAAGTCCCACTACTTTACAGCTTGCTATTCATAGCTCCATAGTCTCCTGGATTCTGTATCCCACTGCTATAGACTTCTCAGCAGGCAGGATGCTTTTCAATGCCTGTGAAGTCTCTAAATGCACGTTACCTACAAGGAAAGCCAGATTAAATAGTCACCTCAAATACACCACTAACAGCAACGAGTGGGCTGCCAGGACCCACACTGCCTCAGATCCAAAGCACTCAGGGGAATGTAGGAAGATATATCATGGTGTCATTAAAGTCACAGGTTCATATCACATTCCTGGTTTTGCGATTTCCCCCTATCGTAGGCACTCAGCTACCACAGCAATGGGAGCCAGATAAACAACTAGAGAGACAGAGAGGATCTCAGATGCTCCAGTACAGTGGGGCAGAATTTTAAAAGCACTAGGTGTACTAGGATTTAAAGCAGACCTGACACTGTGGAAGTGGATGATGGATTCAATATACGCAACAGACACAAATGGTCAGGGCTTATTTAAACACTTAATTTGAAAGACAGTAGCTCCAACAGCACAGCACCCCATCATACTGGGGTCAGGACCACCTTAAAGGAGAAAGTGCCCCTTACACAATCACAAGTACCACTCTCTGTGGCACCAACATGTTCTGTGGAGGTCTCCTATCCAAGTACTGAAGAGGGTTAGCTCTGCTTAGCCCTTTCAATCACAGCTGCAGAGCATATGACTGAAATAGCTAAAAGTATTCCCAACACAGGAATAACAGATGCCACAACAGAAAGTTCAAGATGAAAAGAGGGATGGAAATTTTGCCATTCACTCACTCCTGGTGGTGGTGGTGGTGGTGGTGTTGAATTCAAAGCATGAAAATGAATCACATTTCCCCTCCCAGGGTACAAGCCTAGAGTCTGGCCTCCTCCCCAGGTACTTACACAGCAAGCAGACTCTGCAGCAGTCTCTATGAAAATGCAAACAGAATTAGAAATGCAGATTCGCACCAAGACAAAAATCTATTGCAAGTCAGAAAAGGAAGGAGAGATAAAAACCAAATATTTACACAAGATGCTCCTGGAATTGCCAAGTCCCCTGCTGAAGCTGAAGGAGACTTCTAGTTCTTTCTGCAAGCTGTTTTCAGCCAATGCACCTGGAAAGTTCATCCGAGCCCTCCAAACAACTCTCAAGTGCTCTGTGCGTGGCAGTGAGTTCACTCTGCTCCTGCCTCCTCCCCCTCACAGCCAGTAGCTCTGCTCTTTCAGACAACACGGCTTTAGCAGCTTTTTGGCACAAGCCCACGTTCCATCATGATGACACTTTAAATGTGCTTGGAAACATTTTTTATAGTTATTTTCCCTGGAAGCCCATGGCCTGTTCATGGAGCCACAGTGGAACACTACGCAGAACAGAAAAGTTATTTCACTAAAGAGGAAATGGAAACAGCAGCTAGCAAATTCTCCCAAAGCCTCATTCCATCAGCCCTGCAGTAACCTCCGGATTCCTACTGAAAACCCCAACACTTCTGACAAGGATTACCAGGCTCGCCAATTTCCAGTTAATTGCTCCAGTATTCGGTCTCTCTCAGGAGTTTACTTCTCAACCACATGCCATTTCTGAGAAGCCCAAAGCACTTCATAGTACTCTCCCTTTCCCTAGGATCAAAATATCTTGCTTTATTCAGAACCGCATCTCTCCCTATGGAATGCATCTCTTTCTGCAAAGCATACATACATGTGAACATCACAATACCCAGAACTAAAAGCTGCATACATACAGCTAAGAAGGGTAGCAGGATTAGGAACACAAGAACAACAACACAGAAAAGTCCAAGGTCCAGCAAATTCAGGATCTCATCTCTAACTACAACCAATACTAGAATCTTGAGAGGAAAATGTGAGGTGGGGGTATTTCTTCCTGACCTCACCCTAGGGTGACCAGACAGCAAATGTGAAAAATCGGGACAGGGATGGGGGGGTAATAGGAGCCTATATAAGAAAAAGACCCAAAAATCGGGACAGTCCCTATAAAATCAGGACATCTGGTCACCCTACCTCACCCAGGCCAGCAATAAGCCTCATCCCCCGAAGGACAGGAAAATGTCTTCCCAAACCAACTTGGCAATCAACCTCACCCCTCAGGGATAGGTGTGGTTTCTTCCTGACCCAACCCAGCAATCAGCCTCAGGCCCTGAAGCAGGAGTATTTTAGAGCCTTCGTAACATTTATCTTAGAGCATCAACAGGCATCATCATGAGCTCGCCACTAGATTTTCTCCACCAGCTAACACACATTAAAAAAAACTACAATATATTAGCTAATGTGTTCAAAATCAACTACAACTAGATTTTGAACACATTAGCTAACATATTAAGAACGCAAGACCCTAGATGGCATTCCTGAAGATACAGTTTTTATCTAAAAGGAAGAGACCTCTATAGCAGTGGTTCCCAAACTGGGATTTGTGAACAGGGGGTTCTTGGGAAAAAATTCCCTAATGGCGGACAGAGCTGTCCATAGGGACCCAGGGCAGCACAGGGCCAGCAGCCTGGAGCCTTGGGGGACTTCCAAGAGCTAAGCAGATCAAAGCAAGCATATCTATCACACTGAGGAGATTTAAACTTCAAGACTCCTTTTACGAAATAGAAAGGGAGGTGGATATTTTTTGCGGTTTTTAAAATTAAATAGGCTGCTAGTGTTGTTTTTAAATTATTATGAAGAACAAGTTTAAGCTTTGTTGTAACATGCATTGTTTGCCTGGACTGCTCAAGACCTGAATGCTTGTGTAGGAGGAACTCTTTGAGTTGGCTTCTTAAATACCTTCATGCTGTTTCACATCTGATACTCCTTGATGAAACATAGGAGCCAGAGGCGCCAGTATGGGGGG